TCTGTATCGAAGATCTAGTTTTTCACGAGTTAGAAAAAGTGACAAGTAAGAAAATTAGAACGTAGGCTAATCAAAGGGACGTTCGATCGATATGGTTCTTTGTCTGAAAGTGTTCCAGTTATAGTAAAATCATAAATAATATTTCGTAAAATCAGACTTTACCAGACGTTTTGATAATGAATCTATTCGCGACTCGATCGTCAATAAATCCTCCCTTTTTATACCTTATTTAATTTCCGTTCGTAATCGATAGCGAGGATCGCGAGCACTAAACCGAGAATCGAGCGATAATTCGCAGCAGGGGAAGTCCGACTTGAGGATGGGCCGGCACTAATTGTATCTCTTTTATTTATTTTTTTTTTCTCTTTATCATTTATTATAATACTCGTAGTAAATAATTTTTACTCGTAGCGACTACTACCCAGCCCGATTTCATTTAGCCACACATTTTCTGCTTCGTTTCTATGCTTTCTCTTTCCACTTTGTTAGTTATTTCTCTCATTTGCTCTCTCTTTCCCTCTCTTTCTCTCTCTTTCTCGCTCTTCCCCTCTCTTCCTTTTCTTTTCTTTTTTTTTCTTCTTTTCCATAAATTTTCTTTCGACTTTTTTCACCATTCGTTTTATATATTGAATTTTATTCTTTTTTATTCTCCATATATATTTGCTTTTAAGAAAGAGATATTCATCCAACTTAATCCATTTTCCCCCTTCTCTATTTTTTCCTCTCCCATTAATATTTTTTTTTCTTCGTTTTCGTTTTGCTATGTGACTAGTAATACAGCAGCAACGGATCTCTCTTGTATATTTTATATATTTATAATATATATATATATATACTTTTTTTTTTATTTTTTAATATATATATTCTCGTCTATGTCGCGATTTAGCGGAATATATATCTAGCTTCGTAGCGAGACTAAATTCTTTTTAATTCTAGTTTATTTCGGAATGCATGCTCAACGAGTGTGTCTATCTCTCTTACTTTTCGCTTTTATCTACGACTATGTTTTCTCGATATTTCTCTCTCTCTCTCTCTCTCTCTCTCTCTCTCTTTCTTTCCTTCTTGCTTTCTTCACTCTCTCGCATCCTCATCCACACAGTCCTTCTTTCTCTTTCTCTCTCTCTCTCTCTCTCTCTCTCTCTCTCTCTCCTTTTTAAATCATTTTGCTTTCTCGATTAAACGTGTATATACGTTCATATATATTATACGTATATTACATGCGTATATTTATATATAAACGTATATGTATATATATATATATATATATTTATGTATCGATAATCGAACGGGCATAATTGAAGAGGCAATGTTCCAAGTGGAGCCAGCGCGATTTATTGGCAGAGCGACAAGTTCGATATCTCTTTATATAGATATATATATGTGTATATATATATATATATATATATATATCATATATATATGTATATATGTGTATATAATTTTTTTCTTTTTCATTTTTCCTCCTTTCATTTTTTTCCTCTTTTTTTTTTTTCTTTCAATCCTTCTTTCTTACTTTCCTTTCGTAACTTTTCTGCTTTTAACCTTCGTAAAATTCAACGACGGCGACTTATCTTACGGGTCGAGATACGAGAGAAGAATCACTTTTGATCATTATCACGATATCATCGATTTTAAATCGCAATTTCGAAAGGACGCCTATCATCGATTCTACGCGAAACAACGCCTTTATCTCTTTTTCTTTTTTGCCTCTTATAGAAACGAAAGAAACATTAATACACACACACGCGATTGTTTTTGCTTCTAGTGTCTTTTTTTTTTTCTTTTTTTGCTTTGGTTTTTCTTTTTTGTCCTTTTTTTTTTGCGAACGATTCGAAATCGAAATCATCACGAGAGATAATAACGCGAGATAGAAAGGTGGATTAGAACGCAAGAATGGAAGTCCAATGGATTGTTTTTTTTTTCTTTCTTCTTCTTTTTTTTTTTTTTTCTTTTTTTATTGTTATTATATGATTATTTTTCTTTGCTTTTCTTTTCTTTTCTTATCTTTCGGGGAAATTCGCGTGGCCTGTATCAAAGCAACGATCAGACGCGTTTAAAATTCGATTAATTCTCCTTTTTATTTTCTAAACATTGAAGATGATCAATTACAAATTGAAAAGGTTTTGATTTAGAAAATAAAAAGAGAAAGGACGTCGGTGTTTTTTATATTTTGCGCGTCGTCGAATCAAATCGTAGCTTTTAGACAGGTCGTGAAGGCAGTGCATCGTTGCTGTCAAATTGTCAAATTCCAGCATCGACGTACGCCGATGCGATTTCGTTCGAGAGAAGAACAACGAATTCTTATTAGAACCCACGCGAGGGAACGCTCGTATTATATTTTTCTTTTCTTTTCTTTTCTTCTTCCTTTTAAACAATACGACGATAACGGGGTCGGAATAAATTGGATAAAAAATTCGCATTTCCCTAACTGGCAACTCGTCGAACGACGACGAGGAAAACTTTCGTTAGAAATAATAATATAGAAACATTGGCACATTATTCTTGATCGTGGAATGAACGTATCTCTCTCCCTCCCTCCCCCCACCCTCCCCTCTCTCTCTCCCTCTCCTACATTAACTTTCTTTTATTTATACTTTTCTTTTCTTATCCCTTTCCTCTCAATATAAATTAATTCACTATAATATAGCGACAACGTTTCTATATCACTTTCCTGTATCATTGAACGTTTATTTTTTTTTTCCTTTTTTTTTTTTCTCTCTCTCTTTTTGTTTCATTTAACATCCACGACGTATCAAGATTCATCAACGCAGGAACTGCGCTACGAGTTTATATCCGAGAAAGATTGATTCGATATTCGAGTTGAACAAGGAAAAAAGTATCAATCACGTAGATACACCAAGAAGTGAAATTGACATGGTCCTTTGGTTATAACTTTGACCCGAGAAATTCTGGCACCACACTGTTTCGAGATAAAGGCCGATCTAAAAAGGGCGGGACGACGATAGAGAATATGCCGTATAGATAAACTCAATACGAAATAATAACGCATTATAATAACAACTATTTCTCTCTCGGTTTTCTATTTCCGATTTGTTTCTAGTTGGTACGCCTCCATTCGACGGAGATAGACGAGCCCACCAGTTGGCATTTTTCTTTTTTTTTTCTTTTTTTTTTGCATTTTTCCACAAGACTTTTTTTTGGAAACACACGATTATCGATAAATTGAGAGTCTCTGCGAAATCGTACTCGCTATCTATCCCTACTTCTGTGTGTACTTCTAACAACTACTTTGCCAACTAGGAGAATAATGGCGTTTTATTATTTAACTTCTTTTTCTTTCTCTAAACGCCACTTTGAAGTGTGATTCCTTTTCTTTAGTTTAATGGTACCAGTAATAATATAGTATTGGTAGTAATAGTAGTAGTAATAGTAGTAGTAGTAGTAGTAGTAATAGTATGATGATGGTGTAGTAATAGCAGTAATAGTAATCGTAGTAGTAATAGTAATAGTAGTAGTAGTAGCAGTAGTATTAGTAGTAGTAGTAGCAATAGTAGTGTAGTAGTAGTAGTAGTAGTAGTAGTAGTAGTAGTAGTAGTAGTAGTAGTAGTAGTAGTAGTAGTAGTAGTAGTAGTAGTAGTAGTAGTAGTAGTAGTAGTAGTGGTAGTAGTAGTAGTGGTAGTAGTAGTAGTAGTAGTAGTAATAGTAGTAGTAGTAGTAGTAGTAGTAGTAGTAAATGTAGTAGTAGTAGTAGTAATAGCGTTAAATAATAGTAATAGTTGTAATATTAATAATAGTAGTAATAGTAATAGTAGTAATAATAATAGTGTTTGTGATAACGGTATTTAGTATTTATAAATTTATATCCTTCGTAGCACGTTTTCTCTCGCGTTTTAGCTAGGCTGTTTGATGCATCTCATACTTTTTGTTCATTTCGACTAAATTAGCGAGGCGAGAAGTTCAAATATTGTAATAAAAGCGTGTAACTTAAAACATCCGTTTATATATACCTGTTGTTCTTATTTTCTTCATTTGTTCATCTTTCTCTCCCCTCCCTCTCTTTCTCTCTCTCTCTCTCTCTCTCTCTCTCATTCCCATCCACTCGTACACTCTTTTCTTCTTTTCACTTTCATACATTACAGTATGTAATTTCATTCTTGTTCTTACATTCCTCTCTCATTCTCTCTCTCTCTCTCTCTCTCTCTCTCTCTCTCTCTTTCTCTCCTCCTTTCTTTCTCTTTTTTGTCTCTTTTCTCCCTTCTTCATTCTCACCTTCGACGCTTCCTCAATAAACGCCAAGAATAGATGCGTACTATATCTTTCTTCGTCTAATGAAAGATCGAATATCTGTCGAATACAATTCAATCCTAAGGATCTACGATTGATAAACCGCTAAATCGCCTGGTACATAAGTAGTTCTAATGTTCTTTGGAATTTTCAGACTTCCTTTTTCTTCATCGACATCGAAAATCGATGCGCGGGATGCTCAAAGTCACGTTCTGATCCACCGAAATCTTACTTTTTGTTTTATTTTATTTTGTTTCGTTTGCTTGTTTGTTTGTTTGTTTGCTTTTTTCTTTTATTTTATTTTTTCTTTTTTTTTTTTAATATCTCGAGGACGGAAAAAAGTCCTCCGTTTATGTGCGAAGAAATTTTTCTAATTCGCACGATGATTTCCGTGGAATCGAAACGCGACTAATTAATCTCGTATGCCCTAATCGAACGTGTCACATGCAATATATGCATTTCGTGTGTCACATTTTTTTCCTCGCAAATCTTAATCCTTTATTCATTAATTTCAACGACGTTACATTTTTCTCAAAAATAGATCCCTAACTCTTTGGATCTTTGTTCTTTTTCCTTTTTTCTTTTCTTTTTTTTTCTTTTTTTTGACTTTACTTCATCTCTAATCCCTCTCTTTCTGTCTCTCGATTATCGTCTCGTTTTTGGCAGTTTGCGCGCGTAAGACGTCACGGCAGACCGCTCGATAGTACCGGCGTTGAATTTTTTTTTGTCTTTTTTTTTTCTTTTTTACTTTTTTTTTTTTTCTTATGAAGGCAAATAGAGCTCGCGAGGGTATACGAGTTGCAAATGCGGATCCGGATTTAAAATAGGATTACTAGTTATCATCGTAATCTGTAATCGGAGATTGGCTGAATTCGGACGATCTACGCGAGATAATCGTAAAATGGCAGTCATCGCGATTCCACGACGTTACTTCCTTTTTTGAGCCGTAAAAAGTATAGCGAAACGTCGAAGATAATGTCGTTTCTTTGCATCGTTTTATTTCTTTTTTCTTCTTTTTTTTTCCGTGGGGTTCCTTCATTCCCCTCCCTCCCATCATTATTCTTGCTCGCTTTTTTTCGGTTCATCGAAATAGTTTTGCCGTGGATCTCCCATCGCTTAGTTATCTAAATATCGATTTAGCATAAATATCGAACGATTAGGGACTCACGCACGAACAAGAGTAATATCCTGTTTTTTTGTTTCTTTTTTCTCACTCTCACTCTCTTCTTTTTTCTTTTTTTGTTTTTATATCGTTCCCTTGCTACTTCTTTTATTTCCTTTGTTCGTTCGTATGTTCTTTGTTTCGTAATTTCGTTATCACTTTTGTTTTGGTTTCTTTTTTTCTTTTTCTGTATTTCTTTTTTTTTTTTTCCTTTTTTTCTTTGTTTTCCTTACGACGAAGCAACCGTCTTAACGATTATGCTAGACGCATCAATCGGAAATTTGGAAATTTATTGATTCGTCGATATTGGTATACCAAAAGTACATACATTCGAGATAATCTCAATACACGGTCTTGTTCCATTTACTTGTCTAAAAGTTAATCGAACGACGTTCAATCTGTGATACCCACGTATCAAATAATATCACCGATCGGACTCTGTAATGCGTTGCAATAGGATTTTTTTTTTTAACATTTCGTATCACGTTGCGTTTCACGCGTCACATTCGTAAACGTGAATTCCATATCGTTTCGACGCCTGCGATCGTTTACTATGTTTTATGTTAATCTATTATGCATGTACGATAGTATGCAGTATCGCCGTCGAAGAAACGAAATTTAACATTCGAAACATTTTATCGCGATTAATTGAATCGATATAACCGAAGAACTTGTACTTCGAATTTGTCACTCTCAGTAAAAAATATGGAGAAACGAGTAGAACGGTTTTTCCACCGCTAGACACACTGCCCCTAGAATTATTTTGCCCGTTTTTTTTTCCTCTTTTTCTTTTTTTTCTTGCCAAATCCACGATCAATTCTCTCTCTCTCTCTCTCTCTTTCTCTCACTTCCCTCTCTTTCTTACCTTTTTTCTTTTTATCTTTTTCTTTCATTCACTCAAACTTTCTTTCTCCCTTTCACGTCCACTCTTTCCGCAGCCGCACTCGAATCTCCGTTTAACCAGTCCACCCTTACTTAATCGATAAAACGTATTTTAACGTACCTCGGTCATGCGTCAAATTGGCCAATTAATTATTATATTCGACAATAATCAATTAGCATTTATTCGATATAATTCCCGATGGTCCGTAGCCGTCCTCTTACCCTCTCCGTGCCTCTCCCCATATATCATCGGACGCTATTCTGGTGGAGATGCTCGAAGGGGGAAAAAGGATAGGCAGGCAAGAAAATTTTGTGTTCTAACAGTCCTTTTTCGTTCACCTTTCGTTCTCTTATCTATATCTTTTTTCTTCCTCGTTATAATTCTTTTCTATCTTTCTTTCCTTTTTTTTCTCTTTTTTCTTTTTTTTTTTTTTATCTTGAACACTGGAGTCGGTGGTGTGAGGGGTGGATTCACGCGCGAGGAATGCTTTCGTCCGAAGTGCCTGATGACGAGTTACGTGACACTTTTTAAGCGGCTGTCTTTTTCTTTCTCTCCCACCCTCTCTCTCTCTCTCTCTCTCTCTTTCTCTCACGCATGCATTCATACATTCATACACAGACAGACAACTCTTTCTTTCTCTTTCTCTCTCTCTCTCTCTCTCTCTCTCTTTCTCTCTTCCTCTCTCTATCTCTCTATCCTTATCTATTCTGGCCTATTTATCTTATCCGTCTATCTCCTTTCTTTCTATTTCACCTCGCAATATTTCCTCCCCTCTTCCCTCCGTACTATTTTTCTTCCTAAATTCTCAGACGATGATGCACACTATCTCAGCGTCCTCCTCTTCTTACCCTGAACACGTCGTCGTCTTCCACACTTCCCTTCGCACGGAAGAAGAAGTCAGCTCGCTGTCGTACCGATTGGTCGTCAAACGATTCGTAGATCCTTTCTCCACTCCACTCCACTCCACTCCACTCCTCTCCTTTTCTCGTCTGGTCTTGTCGTTCCTCTTTGCTTCTCTTCTCGTATCTCCTCCTCCTCTCTTTTCGTTTGTCTGATCTCGTCTCGTCTCGTACCGTCTCTTCCCTTCATTCGCCTCTAGTCTTTCTCCTATACCTTACTTTATATTTTTCTTTTTCTTCTTTCGTTTCTCTTTTCAATGGCAATTGGACTGGAAGCACCCCTCGTATTGACAGACTGGACATAGACCGTACGCGCGTGCGCACGATCGAACATCGAGCGCGCCATGCGCGCTGCGCAACACGTCTCGCGTGTTCGCCTGCGCGCATGCGCGCGGCACGACGGATTTTTGTTTTGTTTTTGTTTTTTTTTTTTTTGTGTGTGTGTATGTATATGAAGGAGGTCTACGTTAGGCACCGTAGGGAGTTACAGCTGCCCTTTGACAACTGTCCCAACACCGGCCACCACGCTGCCACCGTCTCCTTCACTGCAATCAATTATAAAATAATGAATATATAAATTATTTCGACCTTCTGTTTTTGTTACTCGTCTAAATGCGAGTATCGTGTCCACGGTGATAACATCTAGGGATAGCCTAAATACCATTTCGATTGATCAATAAGCAGTCTCGAAATTTTTATACTTATTAATTATTTAACGATAACACTATGCTTTTCGCACTTCGATATATATATATATATATATATATTCTTTTTTTCTTTTTCTTTTTGTTACTTATTGATCGAATCTAATATAATTCATAATCTTATCGAATTTGCTGGATGATCTACCTAGTAGTCAGACGTCAGTCTCGATGCTCATGCAGGCTGGATTAATATTATTATTGTGGCGAGGGTTGCAGTTGGGCTTCTTCGTAATTTCTGGATGCGTCAGCAGAATGCCTTCTTCCAGCTCCATTATATCCGACGACGACTCCGACATCGAGCTCTTCTTCATGTGCTGACCTGAATTTAGATTGATTCGTTATGTATTTGTATATTGAATAATCGCTATTTCATTTCAAAAAATTAGATTTGAGAAATATATGTTACCTAGCGTGCCAGGGAGATATGGACAGCTAGTCACGTGATTGAAGTTCTGTGACTGCATCTCTTCCTGGTCAGTCTCACGGTGATAGAAGTAGTTGAAGTTGGAGACGATGACGGGGACGGGTAACGCGATCGTCAAGACACCCGCGATCGCACAAAGGGAACCCACGATTTTCCCCCAGACTCCCACGGGCCTGTAACAAAAAAGCATACGACTCGATTCGGCCACGTAATTGGGTGCGAAGAGCGTGTAAAGGTCATTCTTGTATATATGCTTGGTGCTAGGTGTGGTGTCACTATATTGTGTGAGTTCTGCGGTGTCGAGTCGAGTGTGGCTCTCTACTTTATGCGGTATGTTTTGGACTCGTACACTGGGTGTCTCTTTTAAAGAAATAATCGACCATAAACTCATACTTTTAATATTATTTAATTATTTTATTCTTCTTCATACGACTCTAATGTAATTCGATAGTGCGTGTGTGTGATAGAGAGAGAGAGAGAGAGAGAGAGAGAGAGAGAGAGAGAGAGAACAAGAGAAAAAAAGAGAGACAGAAAAAACAACATTTTTCCAATTATTTAAATCCAAATATATTTTATTTAGATATATATATATATATATATATATATATATATATATATATATATATATATATATATATATATAAGATTTGTTCTTTTTGGTATTTTTGGTATATCACAGCTATGCTTGATTATCACTTTAAAAAGTACACCCTATTTGTACATACCGACCGTCTCCGTGTTTTCGCACTTTTCAAACGACCGTATGTACATATAACCTTGCAATACGCGTCCAATGTAAGCTGCCGGCTCTTTAGACTACTAGACTAAAGGACCAATTTTAGGGCTCGCTAAGTAGGCTTCTTCATAATGCGCGATCTATATGCTCTATCGCGATATATATATATATATATATATATGTGTGTGTATGTATATATATATATATGCATATGATGTAAGATAAAGGATATTAAATAGCCATTACGTGCTGGTGATCCTTCTAAATACGCGAAGTTGATAAACTATATCATATGTATATATTATGTGTATATACGTATAAATATATATATATATATATAATTTATGAAAAAAAAATTATATAAATAAAATAGAAAAATCGAAAATCCATTCACTCGGGCAAAAAAAGAAATAAATGATTTAATTTTGTTTGGATATCGTTGATACTTGAAAAGATATTAAAGAATTACATTTTATAATTTTTTATATACAACATAGAGAACATATAAATTTTTTGTACCGATTGAAATAATTATATTATATAATAAATATTATTGTATATCCGTCGGAACGTTTTGATTTCGACTATGCTGTAGAAAATTATAAAATGTATCTTTGCGCATATTTGCAAATCTTCAAAAACTACCATCGAAGTGTGTGGAGAAAGTTTTTCAAACAAAAAAAAATACTTTTTACATTAATCAATATTTCGTTCTTCATTTTGTACACACACACATATATATATATATATATATATATATATATATAATATGTTTGAAAAATTTTACCTTTACCCAGTTTCACTTCCGTTAGTTCATCATCATCTGCACTTATGCGAAATTCTTTTCTATATGTATTAATTGTAATAAATAATTTAGTTGCATCAAGTTTGTGAAAAAATCATTCCTGCAGGTGTCACTGTACTATGGGCCTTCGTGATCCATGGCTGATGGCGCATAAAATGATGGTATCAAGTATAAGGAAAATTGGGGATATATATGTAGATACTAATGATCAATAAAATGATAATATCGATAAGAGTACAAGTAGTTGAAAAAATCAGAAATTCAGCGACATGCCGGGCACTATCAGGCAAAAGACTTCACGCATGCATGGATGTATCTCTCTTAACTTTCTTTTTTTTTCTGTTTTTTTTTCTTTTTTCTTTTTTCTTTTTTAATTATCTTGAAAAACTTACTAGAGAGAGTGAGAGTGAGAGAGAGAAAGAGAGAGAGAGAGAAAGAGAGAAAGAAAAATTGAAATATTGGTAAATTATTTTGTTAAATCACGACACACACACAAAGGTAGCTTCATTGGATTATTCGTAACGAAAATGAAAAGAAAGTTAATTTTCAAAAGTAATTGTGTTTCGGGATTAAAAAATAAAAAAGAAAAAAAGAAACAAAAAAACCAATTCAAATGCAATAAACTGTATTAGTGGATTTTAAGAATAAAATGTTTTCGTGACGAGGAATATTTAGGAACGGGTTAGGTTTCGAGATACGGATTAAATTCGTCAAAGTTAAAATATGTCGACGTTGATTAAAAAATTCAATAAACGACTTTCTCTTTTCTTTTAATATTAGATCGATCGCGATAACGAAAGAAAATCTGTCAAAACGAGAACAAACTTCGCTAACGTACAACTTTAACGTTATATACGTGACCCTGACACGATATTCATATTGATTTTTTAGATTAAATACATGTTCCATTTCATTCTTTCGAGAAAGTATAGACATTTGAAATAGATATATATATATATATCGTTCTAAGAAAAATAAAGAAAAAAGAAAAACAAGAATAAATAAATAAATAAATAAACAAACAAACCAATAAATAAATAAATAAATAAATAAATAAATAAATAAATAAATAAATAAATAAATAAATAAATAAATAAATAAATAAATAAATAAATAATTAAATAAATAAATAAAGCTTGACCTCGGAATAAAATCTAATTCGCTGATTGGCCACAAATAAAGTTTGCATAATTAATATCAACGGAATACAATCTGACCGAGCAAAGGGAGTAGAGCTTTTGAAAGTGGGTTAGAAAGATATAGTATTATTGGTGGTAAAAAGAAAAAGTTTAACGCGAAGGTCTTAATCTTCTAAATCGATCGATACGACAACCAAGGGAATCGAAGTTACCACCACTTGCTATTTCGAATCCCTATGATTTTTTTTTCTCTTTTTCTTTTCTTTTTCTTTTTCTTTTCTCTTCTTCCTTTTTCCCGTTTCTTTTTTTTTTCTTTTTTTTTTTGCCTTGGGGCGTTTCCAAGGAGGCAGTCTGTACTGGTTGCCGGAGGACACTTATTGATTTACGGGAAGCAATTGCTCAGGAAGCTCCTTCGGCCATAACACCAGAGATCTCGAGTCCTTTTCTCTCCCTTCTATTTCTCATTAGATAAATAGTACCGAATGTCGGGTATCACGAACGTAAAGCTAGACAGAGAGTGAGAGAGAGAGAGGGGGGGAGGGGGAAGAAAGAAAATAAAAAGAAAACAAAAACCGATGGGAAGTACCGATAAAGTCCCTTTATCAGTGAAAAGAAATTCACGAAAAAATAGTGGAGAATAACGTACGTATTGAAATATTTTTTTTGTCTCTTCATTATTCTTTTTCCTTGTTTCTTTTTTTTTTTTTTTTTTTTCGTTCTTCCTTCTTTTTTCCTTTTTTAATTAAGTTTTTGTTTTGTTTTGTTTTGTTCCGTTTTTCTTTTTTCTTTTTTTTTTTTTTTCAATTTTTCAACGAAAACCGAGTACCGTCATAACGGAGACAAGCTGGCACCTGTGCCATCGCGTTTCGAAGCGCATCATGTTTCGACATTTCCTTCTCATTGATCAACGTTCGACAATAGGGAACGACAAGAGCCTCGTTGAGTTCTCTACTCTCCATGAAGCTTCATTTACTAGCTCGTACTTTCTCAAACAGATAAGGCGGACGTATTGTAAAATGTCCTGGACTCAATGCGTTAACCTCTATATTCTGGTCGATGTACGGAACACAAAGTGTTACAGACTGGCTTTCTAATCGGGACGTTAAAAATAAAACTAATAAAATCCGATAGAAATAATGAAAATAATAATAATAGTAGTAATAATAATAATAACAGTAATAATAATTATAATAATAATAATGGTGATGACGATGATAATGATAATGATAATAACAATAATAATAATAATAATAATAATAATAATAATAATAATAATAATAATAATAATAATAATAATAATAATAATAATAATAATACTAATAATAATAATAATAATAATAATAATAATAATAATAATAAAGAATTTTTACGGAGGACAAAAAATAATATCGCAAAGATCAAAGGATTTGACTTTAAAAGCGTGAACCCTATTGGGATATTAAATCGTGGAGGTTAGAGTTAGGAGTCCTCGATCCCGAGTCCAGAGTACTCTCGTCTTCCTTCCGTAGCCTCTTTTAACGCAAGAACGTTAGGGAGAGAACGAGAGAAAGAGAGAAGAAAGTACGATGAAGGTAGGTGTAGTCGTGAGTAGGTGGAAAGTCAATGGAGGGTAAAGAGGGTAGGTAGAAAACAAGGGCATGTTGGCTCACGTTTGAAGAGGATGGCGAGGGAAAAAGAAATAGAAAGAGAGAGAGAGAGAGAGAAGGCGGGGAAGAAGGAGAAGGAGAGATAGAGAGAGAGAGAGAGAGAGAGAGAGAGAGAGAGAGAGAGAGATAGGCGGAGAGAAAGAGAGATAGACCGAACGTGTGAAAGAGGATAGAGAGGGATAGTAGATCGCGTTAGGGTGGGTTCGAGTCTCGAGGGGTCGAGTACCCAGGAAGATAGCGTTAGAGGGACGCTGAGTAAAGGAGATTTAAGTAGTTGTTGGAAGGAACTGCGGACGCTGGTGGTGCGTGTGTTCGTTTTGGCGGGCATTAACTAGAGTCTTAAGTGAAAGTGAGTACATCATACGTCATGTCACCATAGCCCACGGTCGTCATCGTGACAACGGCCCACCAGAACGCGTCCGGAATGGACTTGAAGAACGAATTCTCGGAGCCGGCCTCCGCGAAGTATACCGCCGATGAAAATAGCACCACACCTGCAATGCAAGGAAGAAAACACCGGTTCAGTGGGTTTAATGCCCCCGGTGGCTCTGTACCTCATGTCCCCGTAGCCCACGGTCGTCATCGTGACCACCGCCCACCAGAACGCGTCCGGTATCGATTTGAACTGGCTGTTGTGCTTGCCCACCTCCGCAAAGTACACCGCCGACGAGAAGAGCACCACACCTGAAAGGCAGACAAGAGGAAGGCATGGTTCAAGTGGTGTGTGTTTTTAGCACCATTCGATTCTACGCGTGTCTCTTGGAACAACGTCTTTGGCAGAGTCTCCTTTCCTCTCGTTATTCTTTTCCCTCCTTCTCATCGGTCTCAGGCCATATCACCAGCCCACTCATGGATCATCGTATAGAGAGGTCTTCGGTTCGTTCTCCCAGAGTCCTCCTCCTTCTTATCCTTTCTTCATTCATACGTATATTACATGTACGTATATAATGTCTTTAATGTATAATAATGCATTTATTGTTAAATGCGAATTTCGATCTTTCCTTGGAATCTAGAAACGTATCAGCGTTAGGTATTACGACAAATCTTTGCCGATTGGATTGGAATTCATCCAGTTTGGCGGTCGTAACAATGAGTCAGTCCTCAAGAATCTATATGATCCGTCCTCCTTTTATTTCGTTAAACACTCCAATTAATATTAAATCCCGAGGATAATATTATTATCGAGATATGATACACGTTATATATATATATATATATAACGTCTTAGAGTATCGAGAAAGAAAGAAATAATAAAACATAGCTTGGACTCACCGATAAAAAGGAAAAAGATGAGCAGACCGAGCTCCCTCATAGAGGCCTTCAGAGTACGGCCAAGTATCTGGAGGCCTTTACTGTGCCTGGACAGCTTGAATATCCGGAACACCCTGACGAGCCTGATGACTCTTAGAATCGCCAGAGACATCGCTTGATTCGTGCTCTTGTCCTGAGGGCTAACCGGTGCCTTTGGTAGATTAAGCGTGTCCTCTTCCTCGGTCACTACCGTGGCGAGGGTGATGAAATAAGGAATGATCGCGATGATGTCGATGATGTTCATTACGTCACGGAAGAAGTTAAATTTATTTGGACAGGCGAGGAAGCGCACCGATAACTCGAACGTGAACCAGATGATACAAATAGTCTCTATTAGGAAGAACGGGTCCGTTATGTCCGGCACTTCGTCCTCCTCGATCTTCGTGCCGTTCGTCGTCGTGTTAAAGACCCTATAATGCTTAAACTCTGGCAGGGTCTCTAGGCAGAAGATTACGATCGAGAGGAGAATCACGAACACGGAGATTATGGCGACCACCCGGGCTCCCTGAGAGCTCTCCGGGTACTCGAACAGCAACCAGACCTTCTTCTGGAACTCGTGCGACGGCAGCGGCTTCTCCTCCTCTTTGATGAAGCCCTCGTCCTCCCTGTTATACCGTATCATCCGCGTATAGAAACGTGTATATCGATCTTTGCCCCTAGAGTACCGCACCTACTTTTCTTTTCTTTTTTCTTTTTTTTTAACCTTCCACCGGACAACGCTACAGGATCCCATGGATTATTATTACGACTGTAATAATCACAATTGCATTTCGATCTGTAAACGTGTCGGACAATTTGTTCAATTTATTTTCATGAAAAATTTCTTTAACCAATAAACGAGACTAACGTCGTGTTGCCACGTTATTTAATTTTCAATGCGATACTCTAGAATATATTTTATTGTCGATATAGGATCAAAAAGAGAGATCGATTTATAATCGACGTCTTACCTGAACTTATTGGTGGCAAGTTCGCCCAGTTCGTAAAATTTGATCTCCTCGGAGAAAACATCGAGGGGAACGTTGACTGGTCGGCGAAGGCGACCACCGCTTTGATAATAATAAAGTATCGCATCGAAGGAAGGCCGATTCCGGTCGAAGAAGTATTCGTTGCGAAGCGGATCGAAATATCGAAGCCGCCTTGCCGGATCGCCAAGCAGCGTGTCCGGAAACTGGTTTAGCGTGCGCAGTTGTGTCTCAAACCGTAATCCACTCACCTGTCGAAGACAAAGACATATACGATCGCATTTCTTTCTTGTCATCCGTCGGCAAATATTAATTCCCGATGAATTTTCATTTTCACGTTTCTTCGAATAAATTATACGTGCTTCTTTGATAATTAGCCGACGGATTGTCTGACAAGAAAGATACTATGTCATATTCATCGTGATGAAATTTATATTAAGACACAGTACAAAATAAATATTTAATTGGGTTATTCTTGATTTTGTTCCGTACAATTTTATACAATTTATTTATACGCTTGATGGATTTATCATTGTCGATATCGTTAAAAAAAAAAAAAAAAAAAAGAAAAAGAAGGTTCGTCGAGTAAATTTGGAGGTCATTTTTATATACATTAAAAAAAAAAAAAAAAAAAAAGAAAAAAAAAAGGAAAAAGAGCAATAACGAGTACATAAGAGATATCCTTTCGAATTGTCAGGCCCCCGGCGATTTTGAAAAACGATCGAACGGATAACTGTAATTGGCGCAATGCAGTCGTGTCATCCACGAGGACAGATAATTCCGTTCACACAATACGACCTTGGTACTATATCGCCCCTGATTCCAAGACGAACTTGGATGCCTGCCAAATACGGTCTGTAGGTCACTTCGTGTCTTGAGATAATCTTGCTTCGCAAAAAGAAACGGAGGTGCTCGGCCGTTGTCGTTACAATGGAATGATTACTTTTTGTCGCTCGTACTGTTACCCCACGTTGTGAACGCTTAAGTACCCCTTTGGGTTGAGACCGTACGAATATAAATCGAATCTATCTACCTCATTTGAATAACCAAGTACTTGAATATATTTTATCATTAATATCTGATAACCATCAAGTATTTGTAGGATTCGAATAATACGATAACTGTTATAAATCATTTCCTTGATAATTTCCTTTTAAAACATTCCTCAGATTTATATTTCGAGATTAATATTCCCCCCAATAACGATCTAACTTATTTTAGAGGAATAGAAAATGTAATGATTATATTTACCGTATTGTATTTTATATTTATGTAAACGATCAAAAAAACTACATTTTTATTTAACGCAAAGTAGTTTTAGTTTTAATTATAAATTCATTTCAATCTATAGCCTTACGTTTCGAAAATATATGAGGATAAAAGATATATATATATATATATATATATATATATATATATGTAAAAAATAGGATATACTCACGTTGATGACGACCCTCTCACAAAAGTCATGATCGTGCGGTATGGGCTCGAAGTGCGTGACGCCTGTGTATTGGGTGTGAGGGTTCGGCCCATCCTCGTCCTGGCTGCTGAGTTTCGGCAGCGATCTAGAAAGAGAAAGACCACGAGGCATCGTTAAACTCGTTCCGTTCGAAGCAAACACGAAACTTTGAATGAATGATATTGTGATATGATACATGTAGATATATGAATATATAGGTATGCATGTGTGTGCATGTACGTACTGTAAATATATATTATATATTATATTTATATATTTATATATAATATATAGACACGCTTTTAAATCGCCCAAGATGCATCTGCGATCTACGTGATAACTATTTAGGTAGACTAAACGACTACAGCATTTAGCGATAATCCTTCGTTCTAATACTAATCAACGAATCTACGCAATTCACGGTTCGAAATTCTTTCCGATCGAACCTTCAACGGGTATGATCGATGATATTTCAAAAGACGATATAGATACATATGCAGATACTTCGATTACAATTTTAAGCTGCAAGACCGATCGAGATGACAATCTTTAGGCACTTTGCCAATAATCATTTCTCGATGACTCAGAAACATTTCCCCAAGCACGGACGAACATCAAAACTTTCGATTATTTTCGATGTTTCCATAACAAATCGTCTTAATGGATATTTCGTCGTTCATATTCTTCGCGACGAGCCTATTCCCGGATTTAATAAAAATCGGAAGAAATTCGTAAAGATAAAGATGAATTTGAAAGTTTTAAGGCCTTGAAGTCCATAGAAAATCTTTGAAAAGAATCTGAAAAGAGCCTTGGAAGTTAAAAGGATCTCTTTTAGCTTGAGATTCGCTAACAAAGAGTCGCTAAATCGCTTACAAGCGTGAAAAATGTTGTGAAGCCATGTGCCTTCAAAAAGAATTTTTATTATTTCACGAGTATCCTTAACGACATTTACCGAATATCTTTCGACGTCGTTCGGAATGTCTAAACTGACATGTCTAAACTCTTTAAAACGTTTAAAACTTCGAGGTAACACGAACGGAATCATTGATATCGTCATTGCGACGATTATTTTCGTTCGTTACGTCTCGGTAAAAGAACTTGAACGTAACGTAGAAATAACACGCATCGAAAATATATATAATTATAATCTTTAAATAACTTCAAATTGTTAATAAGTATATTAAACGATTTCTTGAATTATCGAAGGAGATAAAGCTGTCCTCGATAAATATCTTGATTAATTCAAAATATATCATCGAAAGAATTTTTCTAAATAATTCAGATTAATATGATACATAGAAAAAAATATTACGAAATATTTTATTCGCGTTACGTTCGCAGACGTAATCGCACTTGGGATATCAAAGTTATGGTCAACGTTGTAACTCGCCTACGAGGCTCGTTCACGGATAATGGAAATTGGCGAGCAGAGCAAAGGGTGTCATAGTCATGTTTTCCGAGGTAAGGAAGAGTAAAAAGAGTAATGGGGGGAATAAAGGGGGATAAAAAGAAAAAGGAAAATAGATGCCTGGGAAAAAGCGTAGAGACCCTTTGCCCCGCCCACCTCTTGGACAAACGAGGGTGTTCCGGGTCGATTCGACTCTGTCGAGCCGTCTTTTCCGCCATCCACCAACCTCGTCTTTTCTACCATCTAACTCTCTACCAACCCTCCCAACTACCCTTCTTCCTCATCTTCGTCTTTTTATACCCCTTACGCTTCTTTCCTCTTTCTCCTCGAACTCTATGAATTTTTTTCCAAGTAACGTCTTGCGAATTGCTTTCTCGTGAATCCTTGAGGCTGAGGTGTTAGATGTATAAAGAAAGAGAGAGAGAGAGAGAGAGAGAGAGAGGGAAATAAGAAATGGAAGAAAAAGAAGATTAGCATGGGAAGCGCAACGATTCTAGGAAGAATATCGTCGCAAAAGGCGTCTGGTCTGAACAACAAAGGGATCTTGTGTCAGATGAATCTTTTCCAACGATAGCAGTATCCTAACGAAGCTTTCACTCTCTTCTTTCTCATTCTTTCTCTATCTCGAAGGAATTGTCAAGGAAAGAAATGAAAAATAAAAGAGAAGATGAGTTTGTACCGTTTTCATTTCAATCGTCGGAAATAGTTGTTTCTCGGCACCGAACGTTGACACGAAATAATATTAACGTCTATCCACGAAACGATCTAAACGATTATTACAGGGGAGAAATTAGATCTAACCATAATTTCGATTATCCTAAACCAACGATGAATAAATGTAATTATGGACTGGCTCGTTAATATCTATCGATTATTTTTCAAACGTTTGATAACCCTTAATGACGTTATTCCCCCCTTAATGACGTTATTCCTTATCGTTATATATATATGTGCATACAATATATATGGAAATATATATGAAAATATATTTGTCGTCTATGACATTTCCAAATGGTAAGTTCGTCGTTTACGAACTTATGCAACATATCAACGAATCGTTTCTCCTCATTAATCAAGTCGCGTGATGCAACGAAAATCCGAGCTATAAGAAATGTAAATCTAAGAAAGGAATCGTTCGTTTACGGATCATTAATTTTGAGAGAAGAAGATGTCGTACGGGAAATGGTGTAGGAAATACGTGCCGGAACTTTGCGTTCCAATCGATTTTACGATCACACGAGGTCGTTCCTTCGTCGATGCTTTTATAATGAATCACTTTGCTCTATAGTTTTCTTTTTTTTTTTTTTTTTTTTTTTTTTATAGTGTAATGTAGTTAATGTAGTTTTCATGAATAATAAAAATACTTATTAATAAAAGAGGAAGGAACTAATTCATCTTAGAATATTCTACGTTCTAATTTCTATGTGAAATGAAAATGAGAAATCATGATAAATATCTTGCAAAGGGTGAGAGAGAGAGAGAGAGAGAGAGAAGGAGAGAAAGAGAATGAAAAGAAAGAATTGTTTACCATGAATATCGACGATCGACGCTTTATTCCTAGAGCATTGATGACAGTCGATGCACTTCGCGAGACCGGAGCGTAGCTCGGAATAACTTGACGTCTCACAGAAATAGATATCCTGGAGTGCTTCGGCAGACAGGGAACACATGTTTCGAACGTTCTTTCATTGTACAATGTTGTTTCAACAGAATAGCGAAATTTTTACTGAGAATGATATTCTTTCCACGAGAATTCCCATATCCCGATGTGAACATATTCATTCGAACGTTGAACTTAATCGAAAATGGTCAAATAAATATTTACATATCCAAATGGAATTTTTGTTATTTTCTTAAATATCAATATCATCGGACGTGATCGACGACTGAATAAACGATAATCTTACATACAGATTTTGAATTAATAATAATAATAATAATAATAATAATAATAATAATAATAATGAATTAATCAAACTGATGGGAGATGAATTTTGTTGGCAATAAAGTAAAAAATGGAAAAAGTAGAAATTGATTTTCTATCGACAAGTTGGAGAAGCTAATAAAGTAGCTATTTTTCTTTTTCTTTTTCTTTTTTTTTTTTTTTCAGATATCATCGTAAAGTTGTCGTTCGTTGGCGCACGAAATTCTTAATGCTTGATTATTCGTAAAGGTCGATAAGGTAAAAAAGGGACCAAAAGATGGTAAGACCGGTCGGTCTGTTTACGATCGCACCGACCAGAATATATTTCGCGTATCGTATCCCGTACACCAACTAAAACAGTAGGCTACGTAGATGCACATATGTTTATGATCGTGTTGGCCCACTCTGCGGTTAGTGTGCTACGACTAAAAGGTTAGAGGACAGGCAGCCCGGGTCTGGCATAGAAAGCCGTGCCAACTGATATTTTACGTTTGCTCGCACTGCGCTACCGCGAAACCCACTGCGGATCTTTCAACGTGCACGAATCGACGATGTATCTTGACTATCTATCATGCCCATTTCTATTTATTTCTTTTAAAGCAAACACATCTGAATCTCTAAATATAATTAATCCAATCCAATATATATTGCATTGAAATAAATTTCAATAGAAATTTTTCATTAATTCTTTTCAATCCTTCCGATCTACATTATTCGTAAATTACGTCAATTTACTTGGTCACTTAAATTTATTATCATTGATAACAACAAATTTGTGAAACTTAATGTATCCATTATTTTAGATGAAATTAAATGTTCCCCTTTCGTTAATACTAGAGAAATCTAATAAAACAAATTGAAACTATTGTTGAAATTAACATTCTAATCGACAATTAAAGTCAATTTTTAATTCATTGTTTTAGAGTTTCAAGGGACTATGTTTATAAATTGATAAATTTGAAAAAGGAATGTATTGTAGACTTTTTGTCTCGCGTGAATCGAGTACGTCCAAGAGCAATGCGAATAACGATCGCTTTCGGTTCAATCAGTAGTGTACACAGAAGTGCAAACCACAGAAATCGATTCTGAAATCTCTTTCTCCTCTCTTCCTCTCTCTCTCTCTCTCTCTCTCTTTCCCTTTTTCACATTCCCTTGTACTCACCCTCTCTCTCTCTCTCTCTCTCTCTCTCTCTCTCTCTCTCTCTCTCTCTCTCTTTTGTGAATACGGTCATATAAATGGAATTGGTTCTCGGTAGAGAGCAATCGCTAAACTCGATTCACGTTACCAATTAACGACTGACACCTTCTATCGTTTCTCTCATGTTGGAAGAAGTAGTATAGTCGGTTAATAGCAATCGAATCGTTGCAGGTATGCCATGCTACACGCTATTTCATATTTAAGAATTCATTTGGTATAATTAAGAACCGAAGAATAACGAACATTCAATTTACTGTTGAGAACGTTTCGAAGGATCGTTTGTCTCTTTTTAATAATCAAGTTTCGTTGAGGAGTATAAAGTACAACTCTCCTGAAAAATCGAATCCACGTGATACGTGTCTTAGCATAATTCGTCGTTGTGACCTGACCTACATCAGGGAAAGAGACACGAACGATGCAAAGGATCTCACCTTATACTCCTTGAGCTATTTTTGTTTAATGTCTCTGTATGTATATGCAAAGTATATACACATATATATATATATACATATGTATATAATGTATATAAATATTTTTTTTTTCGAGAAAATAAAACAAGACATTCGAGATTGATTC